CTGCTATGGAGATGGGTTGGCTCGTCTCCGATGCAATTTCTCTCCCAGACTCTCTCTTCCAGGATTCACAGCTGTACTCTCCAGCTCGCAATCCAGACACCCCCGACAATCGAATCGACTCAGTGTAACTGTACCAGGGTGAGGGGAGTTCTTTGGAGTGGATTTCTTGGCCGTTCCTGAAGAACCGGACTCCGGACACGGTGGACACCCCAGCTGAGCACGTCAGGGTCACAGCTTCTCCAGTTATGTAGACAGGCTCCTGTGGGGACACGGTGAGCTGGGGAGCCGGGTCAGGGTCTGGAAAAGACAAGGGGGTCGGGGAGGAGATGGTTCCTACTTGAGAGGCTGGTGACATAGAAGCAGAGGAGGGGCAAATGAAAGAGCAGAAGAGGGCGGGATCCTGGACACAGACCCCAGCCAGCCCCAGCTCAGTGCCCAGTAATTTCATCACTACCAGTCCATGCAAACACGGAGCAGCAGAGATCTCACTGCCGGGGAACCCAGTGGGAGCAGCGTCCCCTCCTTTGTACCTGAGGGGGCAGCTCCTGCCCAGGGCCAGCTCAGCCTGCAGGGGCGGGGAAGGGAGGGCTTGTGTGGCTGAGGCTGGGGGTGTCGGGGAGCTGCCCCCAGCAGGCACAGACCAGGCTTCCCTGTACAAAGGACAGATGGTAGGAAGGTGCCTCAGAGCCCCGGGCACCCCCTGGGGAGCATCACACACGCCAGCTGGGATCTGGCCACAGTGACTCCGAAGGAGCCAGGGTCATTTACATTGATCTGGCTCTACCCATAGACTCCTTTGGAGATTTTGCTCATTCTCACCTGCTGGGATCTCGCTCATTCACAGCGAAGACTCTGAAACCAGCCCTGGTTCCACTGGGCCCTTGGGGTGTTTTTTAAACCAATGTTTGTTCTGTGTCACAGGGAGGATTTGCACAGACAGGGAGTGACGGGTTTGGGGAGGGTTTCCAATCCCCAAACTCTGACCCCGTGTGATGGGTATTGACCCCGCTCAGGCACTACGAGGTTTAACAGGCACTGGAGAGCTTGTCCCATGAGAATCCTGCCAGTTGGTGACCCCCAGGGCTGAAAGTGAGCCGGTACGGGCCGGTACAGCCTACCGGTAAGAAGTCGGTACCGGCCCATAGAAGCCCACATTATAGCGCTGCCACGGCAGTGCTTTAACATCCCTGCCCCTTTTGTGCCAGCCAACAGCGGCCCTGCCGGTAGGGTCCGTACTGGCCAGGCGGCCGACGGGGAAGGGGAGTGACATTACAGCACTGCCGCTGCATCACTTTAAGGACCCTCAAAGTGCTGCTGTGGTGCCGCTTTAACGTTGCTGCCAACGGCGGGGGGGGGGGGGGGTAAAAGGAGTATCTGCCCTGGGGCCGGCGATTTAAAAGGGCCTGGGGCTCTGACCGACGCTGCCGCTACCGCAGCAGCAGCTGAAGCCCTCGGCCCTTTAAATTGCCACTGGAGTCCTGGGCAGTGCGGATGGGTTGGCTGGGGGACGCTGACCCCTCCAGCTCTGCCCCTTCCGCCCGAGGCCCTGCCCCTTCTTTGCACTTACTTTCACCTCTGATGAACCCCGGGGCAGTGAAGTGTGTGAATGTCACAGATTCTCTGAGGAGGTACATGGGGTGCTCAGGGCTCAGGGAGAGGGGTGGGTTCACGGGGGGGGGCTGGAAACAGGCATCAGTGTTACATAGAGAAGAAGGGTCACAGCCAGCTGGGATCTCTGGAAGGATCTGGGAGGTGAGGGGCAGATGTTACCATGTTACATTCATCTCAGAAATTACAGGGGGATGGAGACTTCTCCGTGGGAAACTCCCTGCACCCCTGCACCTCACTGAGCCCCAGCCCTGCCCTGTGCCCACATGTTACCCAGTGGGAGGCAGGGCCTCTCTGTGTGGGAGTCGCTGGCTGGACTGGATTGCCCAGTGCACACCAGGAGTATGGGAGGTCTCTGTCTGAGCTGTGAGCTTCAGCCGATAACACCACAGGGGTCAGGGACCTCTTCAGAAATCTTCCATAGAAAAATTTGCATCCGTTGGTGTCTTCACCCATGGGTGCAGAGTAACTTAGGATAGCACCTTCCCCTCTCATACACATATGCAATAGGGGATCCTTGTGTATTGGTACCGGCAGGGGAACTGGGTAAGACGCCATAAATTTATCCATGTCCTGATGAGAATCATGAATGAAGCTGCAGGGCAGAGGACTTAGAATTAGGTCCCGTCAGCAGGGATCAGGGCTGTGAGCTTCCCTCCAGCAGTGCCATTATAATGCCATACTTTAGTGTCTGACAGCAGGGTCCGACACGGGGCACAGACTGGGGAGATCTGGCGTTCATTGCATTAAACGTCCCCAAGTTCTCAAATGTTACTGCGGGCTGGAGCCCCCGAACCTCAAAGTAACACCGACACCCCTCTCAGAAAACCATCGTAGGGCCCAGAAATTCCAGTGGGTGGTTCTGTGCAGAGCTGAGTAACCAGGCTGTGTCTCATCCCATCCATAGAGAAGAGATACCTGCCACTGGGCCAGGAAACAGCGGGAGACAGGGGTTCTCACCTGTCATGGCTATGGAGATGGGTTGGCTCCTCGCTGATGGGATATATCGCCCAGAATCTATCTCCCAGTAATCACAGGTGTACGCTACGGCTCGCCGTCCAGACACCCCCGACAGTGGAATCGACTCAGTGTAACTGTACGGATGTGAGGGGAATTCCTTGGAGTGGATTTTCTGGCCGTTCCTGAAGAACCGGATCCCAGACATGGTGGACACCCCAGCTGAGCACGTCAGGGTCACAGCTTCTCCAGTTACGTAGACAGGCTGCTGCGGGGACACGGTGACCTTGGGAACTGGGAGGGGGTCTGGAACAGACAAGGGGTTCAGGGGAGGGGATTACTACTTCGGCGGCTGGTGACACAGAAGCAGAGGAAGGGCCAGTGAAGAGCAGAAGAGGGTGGGATCCTGGACACAGACCACAGCCAGCCCCAGCTCAGTGCCCAGCAACCACGTCCCCGCCGGGCCATGCAAACATGGAGCAGCAGAGATCTCACTGCTGGGGAACCCCGTGGGACCAATGTCCCCTCCTTGGTACCTGAGGGGGGCAGCTCCTGCCCAGGGCCAGTTCAGCCTGCAGGGGTGGGGAGGGGAGGGCTTGTGCAGCTGAGGCCGGGGGTGGCAGGGAGCTGCCCCCAGCAGGCACAGACCAGGTTTCCTCATACTAAGGGCCCATGGCAGGAACATGCCCCAGGCCCTGGGTATCCTCGGGGAGTGTCACACACGCTCTCTGCTGAGTAAGTCGTGCTGATCACTGAGGTGCCCTGGCTGAAGACTCCTTTGGGGATCTGCTCCGCTCTGTGATTGAGGACCCTGTATCCCGTTGCCCTCTCACTCCTGGGAGCTGAGCACTTGAGGGTGACTGACTCCCCTCAGATAGAGATGGGGTGCAGGCAGCCAAGAGAGCGCATGGGGGTGGTGGAGGGTCTGGAATGGAGATCGAGGAAGGAACCTCCACAAAGTGAGGAGGACGGGGAGCTAAATGAATAAAGTCCCTAACACACACAAACCAGCCCAATCTCCCTTCCCAGTTCCGTCTTTCCCAGGCTGGTGGAGAGGGGCTGGCTCTTCCCAGCTGGGCTCTCCCGGTCGGACAGACGTATCCAGTACAGGCAGGTGCATGACCCAGAGCCCCCCCTGGCCCTGTGACATTCAGGGTATGAGGGAAGCTACTCCCAGATGAGCCCCCAGCTGAGATGCTCCATGCCCCCACCATGTTGAATTGGAATCCTGAAGCTTTGTGACCCCAGGGGTAGCCCAGGGAGACCAGGGCTCAGGGAGAGGAACGGAGTTGCAGGGTGGTCTGGAAAAAGAGGGATCAGGGTTAGTTACTGAAGAGTGTCACACCCGGCCGGTATCTCTGGAAGGCCTGGGAGGTGAGGGGCAGATGTTACCAGGTTACATTCATCTCAGAAATTAGAGGGGGATGGAGACTTCTCTGTGGGAAACTCCCTGCACCCCTGTACCACACTGAACCCCAATGCTGCACTGTGCCCACATCTTACCCAGATAGAGGCAGGGCCTCCTGGTGTGGGATCTGCTGGCTGGAATAGGTTTCCCAGTGCACAGCAGGGCTAAGGGATGGCTGGTCCCTGTCTCAGGTGTGAGCATCAGCCGGTCACTCCACTGGGACCGGGGACCTCTTTGCAGATCAGATCCCTGCTTTCAGAGAAGAATTTGGATCTTATGGTACTTTCATCCCCGGGACCCGAGCACCTCAGGGTGCACCTTCGTCTCCCATAGACATGGGCAGTAGGGGATCCTGGTGTATTGGTGACAGCAGGGGGACGGGGTGACAAGAGAAACTGATCCATCTCCTGATGATAATCATGAAAGAAGCAGCAGGGCTGGGTCCTCTGTGAGCCAGGAGAACAGGGCTGGGAGCTCTCCACAGCAGTGCCCAGGGCTGTGAGCTTGCCCCACAGCAGTGCCCTCTTAGTGCCAAACTTTAGTGATCAGCTGGGACCCTCTCCCCCCACGGCGTGTCGGACACCAGGGCCTGACACTAACCAGAGAGGGGGGAGAGTTGGAGTTTGTTTCAATAACTGACTCCAAGTTTTCAAATGTTACTTCTGCCTGGGATCCCCCAAAATTTAAAATAGCACCAATGCCCCCCCCCAAACCCACCATAGGATCCAGAGAGCAAGGGAGTGACACTGACCCAGTGGGTGCCCTGTCACAACCAGAGTGACCAGGTGGTGTCTCACCCCGTGAATGGAGGAGAGATACGCCGCCAGAGGGGAACAAACAGCAGGACACAGGGGGGTCTCACCTGTCACTGTTATGGAGATCGGTCGGCTCCTCCCCGATGGGATTTCTCTCCCAGACACTGTCTTCCAGGATTCACAGCTGTACTTTACAGCTCGCAATCCAGACACCCCCGACAGTGGAATCGAGCTGCTGTAACTGTATGGAAGTGAGGGGAATTCCTTGGAGTGGATTATCTCGCCGTCTCTGAAGAACCGGACTCTGGACACGGTGGGTGCCCCTGTAGCTGAGCACGTCAGGGTCACAGCTTCTCCAGTTATATAGACAGGCTCCTGCGGGGACACGGTGAGCTGGGGAGCCGGGTCAGGGTCTGGAAAAGACAAGGGGGTCGGGGAGGAGACGGTTCCTACTTGGGTGGCTGGTGACACAGAAGCAGAGGAAGGGCCAGTGAAGAGCAGAAGAGGGCGGGATCCTGGACACAGACCCCAGCCAGCCCCAGCTCAGTGCCCAGGAACCACGTCCCCGCTGGGCCATGCAAACACTGAGCAGCAGAGATCTCACTGCCGGGAAACCCCATGGGACCAACGTCCCTCCTTGGTACCTGAGGGGGCAGCTCCTGCCCAGGGCCAGCTCAGCCTGCAGGGGCGGGGAGGGGAGGGCTTGTGTGGCTGAGGCTGGGGGTATCGGGGAGCTGCCCCCAGCAGGCACAGACCAGGCTTCCCTGCACTAAGAGTAGATGGTAGAAAGGTGCCTCACAGCCATGAGTTCCACCCCGGGGAGCATCACACACACCAGCTGGGATCTGGCCCCATTGACTCCAAAGGAGCCAGGGTCATTTACATTGATCTGGCTCTACCCATAGACTCCTTTGGAGATTTTGCTGATTCTCACCAGCCGGGATCTCACTCATTCACGGCGAAGACTCTGAAACCAGCCCCTGGTCCCACTGGGCCTTGGGCTGTTTTTTAAACCAATGTTTCTTCGGTGTCACAGGGAGGATTTGCACAGACAGGGAGTGACGGGTTTGGGGAGGGTTTCCAATCCCGAAACCCTGATCCTCTGTGATGGGTATTGACCCCGCTCTGGCACTACGAGGTTTAACAGGCACTGGAGAGCTTGTCCCATGAGAATCCTGCCAGTTGGTGACCCCCAGGGCTGAAAGTGAGCCGGTACGGGCCGGTACAGCCTACCGGTAAGAAGACGGTACCGGCCCGTAGCTGCCCACATTAAAGCGCTGCCACGGCAGTGCTTTAACGTCCCTGCCCCTTTTGGGCCCGCCAACGGCGGCTCTGCCGGTAGGGTCCGTACTGGCCGGGCGGCCGACGGGAGGGGAGGGACATTACAGCACTGCCGCTGCATCACTTTAGGCATCCTCAAAGTGCTGCTGTGGTGCCGCTTTAACGTGGCTGCCAACGCGGGGGGGAGTAAAAGGAGTAGCTGCCCTGGGGCCGGCGATTTAAAAGGGCCTGGGGCTCTGGCTGACGCTGACGCTACCGCAGCAGCGGCTGGAGCCCTGGGCCCTTTAAATTGCCACTGGAGCCCTGGGCAGTGCGGATGGGTTGGCTGGGGGGACGCTGACCCCCCCAGCTCTGCCCCTTCCGCCCGAGGCCCTGCCCCTTCTTTGCACTTACTTTCACCGCTGATGAACCCCGGGGCAGTGAAGTGTGTGAATGTAACAGACTCTCTGGGGAGGTAGAGGGGGGGGCTCAGGGAGAGGGGTGGGTTCACGGGGGCGGGGGGGTCTGGAAACAGGGGTCAGTGTTACATAGAGAAGAAGGGTCACAGCCAGCTGGGATCTCTGGAAGGATCTGGAAGGTGAGAGGCAGATGTTACCATGTTACATTCATCTCAGAAATTACAGGGGGATGGAGACTTCTCCGTGGGAAACTCCCTGCACCCCTGCACCTCACTGAGCCCCAGCCCTGCCCTGTGCCCACATGTTACCCAGCGGGAGGCAGGGCCTCTCTGTGTGGGAGTCGCTGGCTGGACCGGATTGCCCAGTGCACACCAGGAGTATGGGAGGTCTCTGTCTCAGCTGTGAGCTTCAGCCAATAACACCACAGGGGTCAGGGACCTCTTCAGAAATCTTCCATAGAAAAATTTGCATCCGTTGGTGCCTTCACCCATGGGTGCAGAGTAACTTAGGGTAGCACCTTCCCCTCTCATACACATATGCAATAGGGGATCCTGGTGTATTGGTACCGGCAGGGGAACTGGGTAAGACGGCATAAACTTATCCATGTCCTGATGAGAAACATGAATGAAGCTGCAGGGCAGAGGACTTAGAATTGGGTCCCGTCAGCAGGGATCAGGGCTGTGAGCTTCCCTCCAGCAGTGCCATTATAATGCCAAACGTTAGTGTCTGACAGCAGGGCCTGACACTGGGCACAGACGGGGGAGATTTGGCGTTCATTGCATTAAACGTCCCCAAGTTCTCAAATGTTACTGCGGGCTAGGAGCCCCCGAACCTCAAAGTAACACCGACCCCCTCTCAGAAAACCATTGTAGGGGCCAGAAATTCCAGTGGGTGGCTCTGTGCAGAGCTGAGTAACCAGGCTGTGTCTCATCCCATCCATAGAGAAGAGATACTGGCCACTGGGCCAGCAAACAGCGGGAGACAGAGGCTCTCACCTGTCACGGCTATGGAGATGGGTCGGCTCCTCGCTGATGGGATCGCTCGCCCAGACTCTATCTCCCAGTAATCACAGGTGTACGCTCCGGCTCGCCGTCCAGACACCCCCGACAGCGGAATCGACTCAGTGTAACTGTACCGAGGTGAGGGGAGATCCTTGGAGTGGATTATCTGGTCGTCTCTGAAGAACCGGATCCCGGACACGTTGGACACCCCAGCTGAGCACGTCAGGGTCACAGCTTCTCTAGTTACGTAGACAGGCTGCTGCGGGGACACGGTGAGCTGGGGAGCCGGGAGGGGGCTGGAAAAGACAAGGGGGTCGGGGAGGAGACGGTTCCTACTTGGGCGGCTGGTGACACAGACGCAGAGGAAGGGCCAGTGAAGAGCAGAGGAGGGAGGGATCCTGGACACAGACCCCAGCCAGCCCCAGCTCAGTGCCCAGGAATCAGGTCCCCTCCGGGGCATGTAAATATAAGGGGATTGTTGCCCCCTTACTAACAGTCAGTGGGATGTTTGGTGCTAGCTCCAGCACCAAAGGGA